AGAAATACGTAACAATCGCTAATATGCATTTTTATGTGCAAAATCAATCTAGCAGGGGAAAGAACATGAGACCTAAAGTGTTGATTAGTATTTAAAAATATATTACTGAATGAAAAGTAAAGCATCGTAACGAATCCGATTAAAACAATATTTGCAACTTAGAGGAAGAGATCATTGGCTGTAAATCCGTACATGCAGCAAATTGGACAATTCTTAGTGGGAAACGCACAATGGTAAGCTTACCTGCATGAAATTGCAGAATTCTGTGCATATGGCGCATATACCGGTGATGCTGCTAAGAAGTTCGGGATCCGTCAACATACACTCCCTTAAATAGCTATCTTGCAAGTCTTGGTGCACGCTCAATACATCATCAACGTTACTGACCTGTTTTTGATTACAATTAACTAATTAGATGAAAGCATTCAAAAATAGCACAATGATGCGTGTAAAGCAATAATATTTCTTTTTGAATAACAAGAATAATTAATTAAATTACTCACCTTGCTCATTTTGTTTATAAATTTCAACCAATTTGGTTCCACGACTTCTATCATCATGTAATACTCCAAATGCTGTATACAATCAAGCATTCTCTGTCGCAATGAAAATGCTTGTCTGTAAGCCATGGCCACCTCGTGAGTGAAAGTCTTTGCTATTTATTGCTGACCCATACTCTGTAAATTAAAAAATTTTGTCGCAGATATCAAATTTAGATTAGTCGCGAAACTGACTTAGAAACAAAGTAGCCTACCTGCATAATAGCCTCTCAACATGTTTACAACAAAATAGATGTCGAAATAACATTTGATAACAAGCTATCGCTTTTCTATTAATGATAAGAGAAACCGGCCACTTAACATCGTAATTGAAGACAAAGGCTTCCAAACCAGTCAAAATTTTACCTGCTTGGAAACAATATTCTGCAAGAGAGATTAATGCTTATCATCTTTGATCAGGCGTAATTGAGCAAACACAGTACTTTTGACAGAATACCTTTCTCATCTCTGGTTTGAATGGAAAGTATTTTAAACATTTGGTATTGTAGATCATAAGGATGTAATTCGGGCTTCAGATCATCTTTATAAGGATCAGAATCCGCAGTAGACATTCGTAAAGCAACCTCGAGAAGAGATGCCAAACGATGCAGAACAATATCATAGATACTCTTATTCAACTCGGCTTCGCACAGATTCATAAATTGAACCTAATGTAAAATTAAGCAAGTTTTTTGTTATTGTACGAAAAATAATGAAGATTTTGAGTAGCAAAGTTATAACTGACTTGATGATTTATGAGAGCTTACCACAAAATCTCCTTGGGCAAGAAGAAAGTAACTCTTTACACTACGTAGCCTACCCATCAGATCATTTTCCTTCATCAGCACCTCTAATAATTTTCTGGCAGCTTCCGAATATGCCCTATCGATGGCAGCTATGTACTTCTGCCCTTGATATTGATAGCTTAAAGGTTCTTGCTTTCCCCACTGTACCGTTTTACCTAAATATTTTTCAATTTGTAAAATAATTGCAAATTCTAACAATTTATAAAATAATCCATTACGCATAATTTATGTTTATTATATAAAGAAATGATTATTTTATTTCACAAATATAAATAAATATAAAGCACTATTATGTACTTCAAAAACGTACCACACTGTCTAATCACATTAAAATATTTTCCCGTTCTAAGTATAGTCTGTGCATGTTCATTCAGAAATACAGGTATCCTTTCCGGCCGCATAGTATATCGTTTCTCCCAGTAATCCGCCGAATAATCAACGGGAAGTTCTTCTCTTTGAACTAATTCATTATCTTCTACAAAAAACTGATAAATGCGCAAGTAAATATACATATATATATATATATATATATGTCCTCATGATATACGATATAAGACTTCAATTAGCATTCATGAAGGTACTAACTTCCTGATATGGATCACATATCACTCCTTTGTAAACCCATTTTTCTAAAATTTGCATATATGGCATGCTTGCCGCTTGCATCAGATATAGACACAATTCTTTAGACTTTGCTTCACCACTAACATTATTTAATGCTTGCTCGTGAAGGAGGCTCAGTACTTTTCCCCCTCTGGCATTCGCCTAAAATCATACATTACACAATACATTGTACCTCTGTTTCAGTAACAAAAATTATAGTTCACATTCCTCATGCATATTTAGAATTAAGTATAATCAGAATTCATTAGTATCCATTAATGCTTTATACTAACCTTGCATATTGTAGATGTAATCTGTGAAAGTATAGACATTGTAAGCATAGTAGGTTGAATGTAAAACCACAGTTTCTGCAAGTTTAATTTACCATGAATGTGTTCTGTCTCGAGTTGCACAACAAAGAGCTAAAATAGCAAGTAACATCAGTATTAACATTACATAGCATTAATATATAAATGAGTTTCAAATACATTTAGAAACTTAAATAACCAAAATATGATATATATTTGTGTTACCAAATTGTAAAAATTAATTTAATGTACCAAATAATCCTTCAGCAAAGATCGTATCGCTCCTCTTAGAGCATGATTAACTTGCCCATCATCTGGTGAGATTTTTCTCCTCAACAAATCTCACTGTCATGGAGTAATAGGAAGCTAAAGGTAATATCTGTTGTGCTAGTTGCTTAAATGATATGCCTAAAAACAAAATACAATGTTTTATCATTAATCTTTTTTAAATACATTAATATTTAATTAAAATTTGTAATGTAATCCTCACCAACATCTGATGATATATTAAAAGTTTTGACGCCATAAGGATTTGTTAAAGGTTCTGAAACAATATACGATCCATCTATTCCTTTCAAACAATATAAAATATCCCACAGAAGTATAGACTCTTGAGACACAATTGGTACAACCTCTGTAATTACATAATTATATCAGACATGCATATTTTATTATTTCCTAAAAATTTTGCAAAATTAATTACAAACTTTGATAAAGTGTTACACTCGCATCACTATAAAAGTCCCAGGTTATACGTGGACGCTCTATTACCCAATTGTGCTTCATTAAGGCACCATCATTTTTATTGACTGAACATATTTTTACTGACTGAACTTGTTGGTTTAACTTCTTTTCACCTTCTACAGCAGCTTTAATTACAGTTTTGCAGATCTATTAAAATATTTAAATAAATTCGTTAAAATATTGAGTTGTATAATAAAAATTTCATCAAAAATATTATTACTTTTGGTAAATCTTCTTGTGTAATAGTTGGATCTCTTAAAGCACCAGTTTTCAATTCTGATGTGGATTTTCTTAACAGGTACTTCTTCAATTCTTCATCTTGAGATATCAACTCTAAAGTTTGTACAAACGGACCTAACAAATCTACTCTGAAAAGATATATTTTTTGTTATACTTCAACAATTAAATGTAAATTATTTCTAAAAATATGTATATTTTATATTATATTAAATCACACTAACTTTTTCGATTTTAATTCCTCATATTTCTGTAAAAATAATTCAGGTTGAAGTGAAATTTTTGCAAGATATTGAATGCAACTGTGAGGAGCAACAGTATTTAATGCATTGGTTGTTGAGCTTTCTTTCTGAAGTTTTTCCAAGTGTCTTTCTGGAGCAGATTCCGAACTGAAGAAAATAATACTTATTCATAAAAATATTTGATATAAAATTTAACGTGTATATTTATAAATCTATTTATACTTATATGATTTCAAAAATTAAATGTTATAATATATACAATATGATTTGTGATACTTACTCTAATATTTCAACTAATTGCACTATCAAATGATGCAGTTTAAACTCACTCATTGTGTCTGACAACTTTAAATATTAACTGTAATACACTGAAAAAAAATATGCCTACTTCATCAGTATCGTAAATTATTCAACTATTTCGTTAACTTTATATAAATTATCATAACTTTATTATAAATTATACTTAGGTATAATCATTTTAAATGCTGATGTTATTTTACGTTTTCGAACGATTTGAAAGGTTATGGCAATGTTTAGGATATATCCAGAGTTGTAAAGGCGCATAAGCATATACATGAAGAAATGGATTGGTTCACTTTCTTATACATATGCCAACGGACCAATAAAATTTTTTATGTATACACTTACGCGTCTATGCAAGTTATATGGATATACCTTTAGTGTAATCTCTTCTGCCTAAAAGCGCTATGTCGTGAAACTTTTCAATGCCTTGATTAGGTACGTACATAACACATTTTGACAGAAATTTTGTAACAGAAGACAGAAGTTATATAACTAATTTTATTTTAAAGGATTTTAAAACGTAAAGAATTATTTGTACTAATTTATTGATTAATCAACATTATGTGTAATAAAATCAGAAAAACCTTAGGAAACACAAACTATTCTACTCTGAACAAATGATAAAATGTAATATTCAAACTTTTGTTTTTAATATTATAATAAGTTATCAAAATTATGTCATAATAAATTGTAAATTATTTAATAATCTTCCTGGGGCGGTGTAAAGTACTGCATTTCATAACAGAATTGCTCGGTTTCTATTTCAGTGGCAGATTTTGTAGTTTCAGCTAGCATCAATTGATCATTTTTCTGCACCTTTGAAGTTACACGAAACAGTAATGAATTTGTGTTGTTTCTGAAAATAAAACACCAATTTAATGGACAAATTTACAATTACTATTTACTGTAATATATTTCAAATAATATCTTAAATGTGAGGCATACCTTAAACTCTTATTATTCGATGCAAAAGTCGAAGTAATCTGCGGGATATTTGCTCTCACTGAACAATTGTGATTGCTAACAGGAGTTATAGTTACAGATTGCTGTATATTTTGTGGAATTACAGACATAGTTTTGTTGTCATCCACAGATTTTTTAAATCGTTTCATTAGATTCTGATCTTCGTCGGTAAATGCACTTTTCTTTTTCTTTGATAATCTGCCTTGCAAATTTCTTATGCTGCAATTTTCTTTGTTGTACCTATTTGCAACAAAGTATTAAATTAAATATAAAATACAATAATTATACATATGCAGATCATTTATGAATTAGTTTTACATGTTATAATTCTTATCAATTATTTTTTTCATATTTGAGATGAATTGTTCATCGTTATCTACTGTGTCCTCCACAAAAGAAACATTAGGCTTCTTGTTTTGTAAGAAATTGTTTCGATGTATGTAATGTGAACTAATTTCTCCTACAAAAGGTTTATATGTTAATTATATGAATGCAAAATATTCCTATATATATACATATATTAATACTAATTTACCTGTCATAGTGAGAAAAATGTTTCCATAATTATTAATGTTATTATCGTTATTCTTTGTTGTAACAGATCGAGGTATTTTGAAACCCGATTGATCATTCAGTAGTTGTTCATTTATCTGTCTGCCAAAAACATTTTTATCCATTGTTAGACAGAACTACCTGTGTATATAAAATCCAAATTATTATTAAAGTAATAATTTGCATCCACTTCTTTTGTAACTAAAAAATTATTATTTTTCTATAATTATTTAAAGTTATAACACGTGATGTTTTAAGAGTTTAACGCGAATATTGTAGATTTTAGGGATACCAATATCATAAAAGTTATGTGATTTACGTCCGATGTATAAATATGTAAAGCGCAATGCTCGCGCAATCTATTACAAGAAGGAAAGCTATATGAGAACCAATAATCACTCATCCTACACACGCGCGCGCGTTACATTCTTGAAACCTTTCTGTTCAATATCACTTCATGTTCGATACCACTTGTTCATCTTGATAAAAATTAAACGTTTCTTTTTTTATTTTTTGGGAGATTGTAATAAATATTTGTATAATATAATAAATACAAAACATGATTTTTTCTTGTATATTTATATATATATATTTTTTTTATCTGTGTATATATTATAAATGTAACAATTATTATCACATGCCATATGTATTTGTGTGAATATACAATCAACCTGAAATTACATTTAAATGAATACATAAATTTTATGTGTGATTTGCACGTGCAAACCTACACGGAAAAAATTTTATATCAAAAATTACTATGTACGGCATTAACCGTGGACCATGAAGCTGCGAACCGAAAATTTTTACCATGTTTCACATGTGAAAAACATAGTAAAAATTTTTATAATTCCTTCATGGTCCGCGGCTACTACCGCACATAATAATTTTTGATATAAAATTTACTCCGTGTATGTACCAAAACTTGAATTTATCACGCAAACAATAACATTAAATGCGTAAAAAATTCTTAAATAAGCGAGAAATTTTTAAATAAGCGTAACATTAAAGTAACAAAATGATTTCTTACTCGTAATATTTTAGAAACAACACTAATTCCACAGTTGAGAAATTTGTAAATAAGAATAACATTGAAATGATAAAATGACACAATTTACTATATGCTTGAATTATTTTACAGATAACATTAAATTCGTAAACGAGAAACTTTTAAAAAAGCTTAAAATTAAGATTATAAAATAATAGAATTTTTCTTACATGCCTATAATAATTTAAGACGATATTAATCACGAGATCGAGGAATTTTTAAATAAGTATAACATTAAAATAATAAAATAATACAATCTCCTACATGTATGTAATACTTTAGAGTATTGATGCATTACTTACTAAAGATTCAAGTTTAAACGGAACGTACGCACAGATAATATATTGCTAAAACAATCTGTTCAAATAATTAACATATTTCTACAGTGGTATTCGTACTTTTCTCTTCTATTCGTATTTACATATTTGTGTATGCTTTTTTCTACATGTTTACGAATATTAAAAAATTTACTGTAACAATATTTTCGCAAGATATACATTTGTTCGAATATTCGGTAATTTTGTACAAAATTGTCACAGTCGCTCATTCGTTATGATTTTTAATAACATGGATATTATATTTGTTTCTTGCGCATTTACCAATATATTCGAACTTTTACTTTTTACATAATTATTCAAAACCATTTCATAAAGTCATATAAAATGTAGACATCCAAACGCTTCAAAAACTATTTACGCGAGCATTGTAAAAAGGATGTAAAGCAATATACGTTTCGTACATGGATTTGGAAATACCGTCTTCTTATGCACAAAAAAGCAATACTTCTGTGCCCAACTGCGAAATACATAATCTTCCAATTCTTTCCTAATATGGTCCTGTTAGTCATTTACTAAAGGTTCTGACGTCTACTTTTTTCATGAAAATATTGTGCAAAAAAGTAATACTTTTATGTCAAATTGTAAAATATATAAACTTTGCAAACGTAGTAAACTATATGTCGTAATTGATAACTTTATGAAACATATAGCGGAGCATGAGGAAATTTGTGATCTTGAAAAGAGCATAGCAGCTGAAACATTAGCAGATCATAATTTAGATTTTTCATATTTTAGATATTCCAGAAATGAGACAAAAATAGAATGTAATTTTTGGGATAGTTTTGCAGAAAGATTCAGTCACCTATAATCATGATTTCATCACTCACGCAAGACAGCATTCTTTAAATATCCCTAAACGTGATCGCGATATATTTAAAAAACATTATGCATTTAAATATATTAAACAATCTGGTGACTATGCGATATGTAAGATTTGCAATACATATATAGACTTTAAATGTCTTAATCCCATATTAAAAAAACATTGGAAAATAATCAAACGCATAATAATTGCATAATAATCAAACGATTGTTTCTTCGAATGACGTAAACATTGTATCTATTTTATGTTAGAAAACACGATTCGATGAAATTGACACAAACCTTTGTAACATATATTTCGAATAAATACTAATTATTCTGATTTTTGTTATTCTTATTTAATATGTACTGAGAACGTCACTCGAAGCTTCGTCACTACAGAAAAGTTTATTATATTTATGAAACTGGTTTAGTTTTTATAAATGTAAAAACACATGTTCTTTGAAGCATAATATAAAGATTATGTTTCAAAATAATAACTATAATTTATAATTTTATAAATTTAACTTATTGTGTTAAATCATAAATTTATAAACATATATATTTAAATTTACCAATTGTGTACATTTATAAACACAAAACCGATATGCGACAAATAAGTCAAAATATGCTAATGCCTTCATATGTTTCAAATCACTTGTCAAAGTCAAGATTGTCGTTATAGTTGATCATGGGATGCTGCTCAAAAATGCCCTTATCATCATTTCCATTGTCGAACTCTGTAGATGAATCTATATAAACATTTGTAATATATCAAAAGTAAATATTAAGTGTTTGATTTTTGTTGTTTTTATCGTATACACGTATATATTCAGTACACCACTCAAAGATTAAATTGTAATGATAAATATTAATAAACAATAATTAATAAAATATGATTAAAACTCACGATCGTCTTTCTTCCAATTTTCATAGCTTGTCGATTGTACAGCTTGACCGTTTGCTGCTTTTTGTTTTATTTTTTCTTGTATTCTTTTCAAATTCTCTGTATGTGCTATTTGCCAATGCTTTGTTAAAAAGACCATATTACATTCAGTCTACATATGTATCACAAATCCTACATGTCGCATAGTCTGCAGTTTGTTTAATATATTTAAGTGCATAATGTTGTTTAATTATATAGCGATCATGTTTAGGGATATTTAAAGAATGCTCTTTTGTGAGAGTGATCAAATTATGATTACAAGCTGACCATCTCTGAAAAACTGTATGACATAAAATACATTCTATTTCTTTCTCATTTCCGGAATATCTGAAATATGAGAAATCTAAATGATGCTGTGCTGTTTCAGCTACTATGCTCTTTTCAAGATCACAAAAATCCTCATGATGCTTCGCTACATGTGTCTTAAAGTTTTCAATTTTGACATATAGTTTACTGCATTTGCAAAGTTTACATTCTGCTCAAAAATTCAAATAATCTTCATAACATTTCTTCAACCACTTGTTCTTAGTAGCAAGATAGTTCCAAGACTGACTGTTTGTTCCAGCCTGTAATGCTTCATATGCGAGCATCACATGCCACTTGTCTTTATGTTCCTTTTCGATATGGTCTTTTAACTCTGTAGTATTGATAGATAATTTTACAGTTTTAGTTAGGCAAATAATACATTTTGCAGATGAATCTCCATGAGTGATCAAATATTTCCAAATCCAATGTCGTTCTTTATAGAATCATAGTTGGTTCATGTTATGTGCAAGTGATATGTGTATCCATAAGTCATCATCTAAAGCTGTAATTTTAACTTTATATTTATATAAAATACATTCCATATAAAATACATTCTTCTTCGTTGTCATTGTCCGAAAATATTTCCACTCACCCTTTGTTCGTTCAGTTCACGGAGAGCAATGCCTCTATGCTGTCTATTCATGTGTTTGACAAAATTCTCAGGTTCCTTCGCGTATATAAAACTCTTTCCGCAAGATCCTTCTCGACACTTTACTCGAAACTCCTTTGCATTCTCTTCTTCATAACATATACTTAACCAGCGGAAGCTTCCACCACACATTGTGTCTGATCTGTATGATAGAACGTATTTAACTGAACACGATACGAATATTATTTCGTCGAAAAGTGCCTGATGGAAGAGGTCGAGGAAAGAGACATACAGTTTTTCTATTTAAACGTAAATATTGACAGAGTTCAAACCAACCTAACGGTTATCAAGAGAGGTAGTAGGATCTGATGCGAATGTATAAGGTCTGTTCTTTATAGCTGAACTCGCTACACTAGTTCACAGTTTATCTTTTTCCTCCCACATTGAAAGGAGAAAGATAAACTCTGAACTAGTGCTGCCAGTTCAGCTATAAAGAACAGACCTATAGTAAAATAACAATTATGCGAGCGAGGAAGAAAGAGGGAGTGCGAGGAGGTAGAGGCATTCAAATCTGTAATACAGATAAATAATATTTTTAAAATAATGTAGAAGTTGTTCTTAACGGAATTTATAACTTTCAATTAATATTCTATTATCCATAAAAATGTCTACATCGAAGAAATGTGTGATTTTTTTAATTTGTTGATACTACGACATAAAAAAAGAAATGCATTTGATACACTTTCTGCAGAAATATAATTATTTCCTTTCCTATTTTATTCGCCTCATTTATATTTTAGACATACCACGATCGTTATCGTTATTCCCTTCATTTTCCTTCACAATATACTCCAAATCATAAATGTAATTTTCATATTCTATTATTCTGTTACTAATTACTCAAGGACTATAATTTCAAATATCTTTTAAATTTAACACTTTAGAATTCATATTGAAATAGAGCAAATAATTATAATAATGTTTAAAGTTTTTTCCAATTTATTATCTATTGATTGCTTGAATATAAAGAACATTTTGCAGTCTCATTGACGTGAAACACATATGGATGAATAAAAAAGTATTAAATATAAATTTTTGTAATAAAAAAGTAACAAGTATAAATTTTTATAAAGAAATAAAAGTACATATTTAATTATAATTATTTCAACAACATATACAAAACTAAAAAATAAAAATTTAAAAATAATATTTTAAAACAATACTTAAAACAATAGTTAATCCAATATTTAAAATAGAAAGTGAATAAAAAATAAATCCAAGATTAGGAGTTAAGTTTCAAGTGATTGGATAACAATTTGGATCTCAATATCGAATGTCAAATAGTTTGCACTTCATAGAAAAATTTCTTATTTGAACAAAATCTATGTAACAGAAAGATGTAAATAACAATAGCATTCACAAACTTCTAAAACAAAATTATTTTGTTAAATTTTATATTGTGTAATGAACGATTATTTTGTAATTTACAATGCTATGCGCATTAGACTTTAGACTTTGCTTCATCACTGACATTATTCAATGTTTGCCCGTGAAGGAGGCTCAGTACTTTTCCCCCTCTGACATTCGTCTATAATCGCACATTACACACCACGTTGTATCCCTAATGTCTCAGTTACAGAAATTATAGTTTACAATTCTCAAGCGTATTTAGAATTAAGTATAATATAATCAGAATTCATTAGTATCCATTAATGCTTTATACTAACCTTGCATATTGTAGATGTAATCTGCGAAAGTATAGATATT